ACTATTTATATAACCTAAACTAGGTGCAGAAAGCTATTAAGGACTTATAACCTTCTACTATTCTAACTTTATAAAAGGTGGCGTAAATATCTACTTTTATAAACTAATTTACACTAGATAGTATACGTAAAGTTTCCTTAATAAGTAGTAGTAGGTATTAGTCTAAGGTTATTATACTATTAAGAATCTAGTAATCTATATAAAGGCGCTAACTACTTAATAGCTTCTTTACTAGTAATAATGGAGCTCTAGCTTTAGAAGAGCTTGCTTAGATCTAGCCCTTGTCTATTAATCTAGTAAGTTATATTCTTAGTTCTAGTAATTAATTATAAGATATAGGGTATAGGGGACCCTATAGGGGGTTAGGCTAGGTTCTATCTAGGAGAGTTATTAACTAAATATAGTAATCTATACTACCTTAATAAGGTAGTAAACTACTTGCTAACTCTTTGTTAAATAGGTCCTTAAACTCTTATAGTTCTAGGAGCAACTTTATCTTTCTAGTTTTATACTTAGGTTTATAGGGAACTATATTACTAGTAATATAGATAGTGTGTATATTAATAGGACTTCTCTTATTAACACTTCCTAGATATTTTATTAGGCGTAAGTTATATATTACCTATAAAATATCTAGAATATTTGTTATAAAAATTTATACGGTGTATATGTTCGATATTAGGATCTTTAATTGAGCAATCGTTGATATAAATAAATTGAAGATAGTAGAGATATAGGTAGGATATAGGCGTTTAGGGGTTTTTTATATTAAATATGTGCTACGTGTTGTAAGTTTTAATGGGGGGGGGGGGGAGGCATTCAGTGTGTGCATGTTGTAGAGTAGCTATCATTGGCCAATGGGTTTGCTGGTGCCAGCATACTAGTTGTCTCAGCTAGTTTGAGGATCACGTTACTTGTCTTGTGCTATGAAAATAGCCAGGATGTAGCAGTGGCAAATCACATGATACTCAAACTACGCGAGCGCATGAGTTAACCATGGTCAAGAGCAAAAAGTATACTACTCTACTCTAGGACCGAATTCACAGTATGCAAATGTTTTGCTGCACTCCCCAGTTTCGTCTGTGTCAAAGAGGAAGAGGAAGCTTATCAATATAGCATAGTCATGGGCCGCCGGACTGTGTATGTATATATATATATATATATATATATATATATATGTGTGTGTGTGTGTGTGTGTGTGTGTGCGGGTGGTGTACTCTAGCTAAGAGTGGCTTCTGGGCTCATTCGATGGTCGGCCCACCCCGCCTCACCACACCACCCAGCCGTAGGTTGTGCGTGTGTGGTCGCGCGCGTGGGGGAGAATTCGGGCAAGCGGTACCCCTACCTACCTACTGGATCGCCTCGGCCTGCACCGCGAATTATTTATCCTCCATCATCATCATCATCATCATCATCATCACCTACTACTTACCCACCTACCCACCCGTCTACCTGACGCCTCCAACACCATAGCTCTTGTCTGCACCGCATTACCCCTACACTAAACTACCACCATCTCGCTCCATTCTCCGTGACTACCAAATTTCCCCCTCACATCGACAATGAATGCAACCAAGATGCTCGCCCGCCAGCCCATGATCCGCTTCTTGGGCAAGCGCACCCCGCCCACCAGTATGCGACCCGATCACGGCCACGTTGCCTAGCCATCAATTTGCTAATGCCACCATGTGTTCAGAGATCGACCACACTCCTCATCCCCATCCGGCCTCTCCCACCCACGAGCTCCCTTCGTCTTTCGCATCCTACCGACAGAGGGCACAGCAGCACGGTCCGCTGAACACAGTCAACAGCACTGCCGTTGGCGGTCTCATTGGCGGCAAGGCTGGCAGGTCGCTCGGTCCCGTCGAGGCAGGAAACGGCGTGTACTTTGACCGCTCCGAGCTCCCCGAGCGCTTTCAAAGGCTGTCCTGGTCGCAGGCTGAGATAGAGGCCATCGAGTCTGGTGGCGCCAGTCTCTTCGCCTGATCGGCCATGCATGTGACAGAGCGACAGCGATACATTTTGGACACGTGCTGGCCAGGACCACTGCAGATATGCCTACGTAGGGAACGGATGAATGGACGATAAGAGTCTGTATGAGTTGTCACGAAGGATATGGGCTGGGCTTCTAAAAGGCGAAGAGAACAGGTGTTACTCTCGTCATGTACACCGCAAGGCCGATATCGAACACGGAGAACTAGAGGAAGAGGGCATGGTGGTTGGGATTGAGCATGGGAGTTAAGCTTCACAATCATGGCTTGCGATTGTAATTATGTTTATTACAGAACCAACATGAAATACGACGAACACTACACATCCCATGCACGGAGAGGTCAACGGCATAGCGTCAGGCGCGCGCACATATGATATACTTTGTTCAGTTGACGGTGGCTTGGACGTGCTGAAGCGCACATGCATGCTACTTCGCCAGTCAAGTGATCACATGAGAAAAGATCGGTCGCAGGTCGGGTGAAATAGCTTACGGGTGTACGAGTAGTGACAACAAGTCACATGCATCCCAACGATGTCTACGTGCACCCTACCGGTAACCCCTACTTACACAGTAGACAAGTTACAGTTATTGGACTCACCTTTGAAATCATGCTCAGGCAAGCGCGTTATCGCCCGGCAAAGTCTCGGCCCTATCGGCATGCCACAATTCTCGGCCAAACTTCCTCACATGCTCGTGATGCTCATCCGGATCGTCCCTTCTCCCCCACCATCCACCAGTCCACTCAACAGTCCACACGTCTCCTCGTTTCCCACCCAACGGCACAAAAAGGCTAACAAGTGAAATAACAAATTGGAATTGGAAGGACGCAGTGTGACGTACTCGACATGGAAAGGGGAGGTTGAGAGCTGTCGATTGTAGTCTCTTCCGGCGGTTAAAGATGGCTGGATGTGGAGCACGCAGTCTAGGAAGACCTTTTTTGGCTGAGCTCAACAACGGTATGAGTGGGTGAAGTACCTTTTTGTATGTACGCCATGTAGTGGGCTGATACCACAGTCAGGCGAGGGATTTTGGTGCTGCGGTTGTAGATGCATGGACTTGCGATTTCGACTACGCATGCTCTGAAATTTCCCATTGGCAAGCATCACAAAATTCCTCGTCTCTTGATGGCTAGTTTCCTTTCTACTCGTCTTCATCAAACTAAATGCTCGAACATGATAGCCAATCACACAACAAATACCATCACGCAATCAAAGCACCCATCCCAGTCGACACGAGAAACAATGCTCAAATCACTTCACCCAACAAGCTTGCACCACCCCATTCTAACAACCCGAAGCGCACAAGCCAGCCCATGCCGTCTCAAAGCCCCCCGAACGACGACGATGACCATCTGAAACAAACAAAGCCTGTTGTATCTATCTAGGGTGTACATACTCCGCACCCGCACAGGCGCGAAACCATTTCTCTAGCCAGCCAACCCCCCTTTTCAAAACCATCGAGGGAAGAGAGCCTCACCCACCCACACAAACATGAAACAGGCAGCAAGCATCTGGTAAACCAGAACAAACCTTATTCTCTCTTTGCCGCGTGCGCATGCGCGCTTTGATCTCCATTATCCGCGTGGGTCGGTTTGTGCTTGGACGATCACAATGCTTTTCTTGACTCGTCGTTTCTCTTTTGATTTCCCATCTGTTTTGGAAGAGTCAAGTCTACAGCCTGTTGTGCCAACAGGCAATGTGCAACACTGCACCACAGACGCCGTCTGGAGTCGTGCCGTGGGGTTGCGGTGTGAGGTAGCTTTTTGTCAGTGTATTTTTGGTTGGTCGTGGCTGGCGGTGCAGCATTCCGACCGCTGCTGGGCTCACGGGTGAGGACGTGCGTGCACACAGCCACATTGGAAAATAACACAACCCCAGCTGGTGGCGTTGGCCATCGGCCCTCTTGACGTGCTTCTACACCATCCAGCTTTGAATGGGAGCTGGTCAACGCATGTCAAACAAAATGCTAATCAACGGTGGTACATGGCCAGTGACAGTGATTTTATAATCGCACAGGGCGCAGTGTATTTGTTTTTTTTCATAGGTATATAATCCTCCCCCAAAACAGTGATACATGGGTATCCAAGACATTGTCCCATACACCAGCCTAACCCTAAAGTCGTGTACAAGAAGGAAAAAATAATTGTGTCCCCAGACGCCGGTGTACGCCGACGGTGGATCAAAGAGTGACAAGAAGAGAATCGCAAAAGCATGTGCCGTCAGTCGCGCAAACATCCCCATATACATCATGGAGTCTATTCCACGTAATGAACAGATGACCAGATCTATGGGCTGGCCGAACAGTGCCTCAACCTCAAGTTGCATGGTCAAGATGGCATAATTTTCTTCCTTTGGAACTCCTGTGATCACGGTGGACCGCATTGGTGAGGCACAAAATCAAAACAATCATAACGTGGTCGTGCAAAGCGCTGACCTGCCTGCGCTAGCGAGATGAAGAACATCTTTGGGTATATGGATCGTGGCATGACCTCAGCAAGAACTCGTGCAAGTCTTTGGCCAAAGTGGAAGCGTAGGGTAGCGAATACGATGCTTAAGAGATTGGGGACCAGGAGGCCTTGAGACGGGTCTTCTCATCGAGCCCAGTGAGCGCCTTCCAGGCCGCAAGAGAGAGATCGATGTCGTGCTTAAGGCAGCCAGGACACATGTCCATAATGGTAGCCTCAATAGAGTTGCCTTGGTATTCGACCTTGATCTTTTGTCCACACCATGGGTTGGTAGATGCTCCGGTCATGACATCATAGGTAGATTCTCCCCAGGCAGGCTTGGCGAGGGCAACAATCATGTCGGTGTCGTGGAGCTCAGTGCCACAAGCGCCGAAGCTGCCGTTGTTGTCATAGATGGTGATGTCAACGTTGGAGAAAGTCTGGCCGGATGATGTGCTTCCAGATCCGGCAGGCTTCTCAGGAGCTGCAGGAGCAGAGTCAACGGGGGCGGCAGGCGCAGGCGCAGGCGGGGCAGGCGCGGGGGCAGCAGGAGCAGGAAGAGGAACGACAGGTGCCTCTGAAGTGGTTGGCTTGGGGGCCTCAGGAACAGGAGCAGGCGCGACGGGTGCAGGAGTAGGACTTGGGGAAGGAGTCTCCGGAGCCGGGACAGGAGCAGGTGTGTTGACGCTGGTGGGCTGCTCGACAACAGGCACGACGGGAGCCGGAGGAGGCGGGGGCGCAGGAGAGGGAGCCGGAGCCACTGGGGGGTTGGAGCTGGGGCTGGGGCTGGGGCTGGGCTGTACGGGGGAGACCACTTCTGGGGCAGGAGTAGGAGCAGTCTCGGGCACGGTGTCGTCCTCGTAGACGGTGGTATAGACGACGACCGTCTCGACGACCGTCTCGGTGTGGATAACGAGGGCGCGCTTGTCAACAGGTGCAGCAACAGCGGAGAGGCTGAGGAGCAGGGAAGCGAGGACGGCAGAAGTCTTCATTTTGGGCGTGAGAGTAGGTGGTTGTTTTTCGGTTGATTTGAAAAGGTCGAAGGAGTGGGTTTGAAGGGGTGAGTCCGCAGGGAATGACTGAACTGGCTAGCAGTTCGAGTGGTTGGATTGATGTTGCGTAGAGACTGTGGGTTGTCAGGAGTGACAAGGACGAGAGAGATGCGATATCTCAAAGGTGGGGTTTGATAAAGAGAGTGGAAAAAAAAAGGGAAGACTTCAAGCCTATAGGGAGTGGATAGGAGCTTGAAGCGGGCGGGGGGGGTTGCAAAAACTTATAGGGAACGATTGAGGGCTTGGTGAAAGAAAGAAAGAAAAAGAGTGGAAGAAGTGGGCAAAGGGAAACGCAGGACTAACAGAACAGACTTGGCGGGTCTTCTGCCTAGCGCTGGCTCAACCCCTGCCTAGCAACGACGCCACCCGACCAGCCGTGCGTGGTGGGACACAGACTGCGCACACATGCTCTGGTACACATTGGCCTACTACATACTACATACGTGATATTCCGATCGAATCCTCCGCCCGCACGCCCGCACGCCCGCACGCACCACGGGGCTTCGACCGTCCAATGTCCATGGCATGCTAACCATGCCAATGCCTCTTTTCTCCGGCCCGGCCTGCGAGAGCTGAAGTGGAACCCAACGCGCTCCCCACATCTCGTACCGTCGTGTGCTCAACAAGACCACGGCGCGCCCAGAGCCTTAGTCTGCGCCATCTTTACAGCTCGACGCCGCCCTGTTGGCAGTGGCAGCAAGCAGGACAGCACAGCACAGCACAGCAACATCACCGCGACATGAGGTCGTCATAGTTGGCAGCCATCACAGTCTGTCCGCTATCTGCAGACCGCTGCCATGCACTCGGCGTGCTGCTGCCCACTTGCAAGGATGCAATCACTAATGTCCTTTTTTCCCTCTTTTCCTTTTAGTTTTCTTCTTCTTTTACATTGTTCTCTTCATCAATGAAAAAGTTATTTTTTGTTTGCTTTCCCTGGGTCTGACTTGCGTCTCCGGCCTCCCTTGTCTCGCAGCAGCAAGCTGATTCCTCCCCCCTTGCTTGCCGAGGCGTGAGAGAACAGGGTCAGGCAGGCAACGCATAGCGAATCACTGCACTGATCTTCAGGAACGCGCCAGGGGAAATAGCCCAAAGTGGAAAAAAGGCGAGCGACAAGGGCTGAAAATGGCTGTCTGCGCCTCACACCATGTCATGGCTGGAAATGAGATGCCCAGAGAGCCAGATGGGGGACCTGTTTCAGAGTGCCCTTGACGGGGCCCAACACGTGTAGGTATTCTTTGACTTCGCGTGAGCCCACGTTGTTCGGCGCGAGGAACAAAGAGCGAGTCAAAGGGCTCAAAGCCGTGCTGGCCAAGTTTGCGGGCATCGGGCATCCCCATTCGCAGCGTCTGGAAGCAGTAGCACTGGACACTGGCTTGGCCACTTCAACGCTGTCTCGCTCTCTCTGTCATCATTGGCTGGCCAAGTGGCGGCACCACTCCCACTGCCATACCCAAACCTGTTGTGCTCCGATTTGCGACGTGGGACCGGTCGACGAAGAAGCCTGACGGCGTCAATGTGACATATCCTGCGTGTGCGCATGCTGAGAGAGCCGGATTGCCTCAGCCGAGTTGTCGTTCGCTCGCTTTGTCGGCGAGCTGATTCCGCTGCTTCTGTCTGGACTTTGTCGCGACACCATCATGAGCTTCGTCAGCAACGCACAAGAAATGAAAACTGGGGCCAATGCAAGTTCGTCGTTTTTTCACTGGGCCGTAGCGGTTCCGCGCGGCAGCCACGTGCAGCAGTCCAGAGCCCTATCTTATCCACTTGTCGATAGCGATAGCTATCCATCTCCACAGCCGCTGTCGCATCGAACCTGTCGACAGTGGGGTTCAGAGCTTGACTTGTGCTTCTGGACTTGAACAGAGACTTCTTTGTTCTCACGGACTAGCATACATATCGAGTAATCCCAACCTTTTCCCACCCAACCAGTCCACGCGTCATTACACAGTCATCGGTGTACTGGCACAGTCCACCTAACACCCTTCCAAGCGTAACTAGAAAATGTCGACATCTTGACTGCCCGGCTTTCTCTGAAGCGGTGTAGGGTGCACATCCGAGGGCGAACCTGACTATCTTAGAAGCCTGATCATGGACAAACATACGCCGTGCAACGTCTGCCGATTGTTTGGTACACTACCGTGCTGCGCCATTCGCCGTCTGGACCCTTTACGTTCCAGGCGTTCGGCATTGGCGTCGTCGGAGATGGTCGTCTCTGAGATCGTGCATGCAGTGCGGCCTGCATCATCAGACTGCCCAACAGTCTACCTGTGACGCAATTGTATGGAAGATTTTTGTCAAGAGTTGCCTTCACCAACGCAGTTTTGCATGGGGCCGTGACTCATCAACTTGTAAGATGGTCAACATGTTGGGCCAGATTACGTGATGATTGTGTTGGACGCCGAGATTGTGCGAAGTAGTTCGTATGTTACTGCTCTACTCTATCTCGCTGGCAGCTGGCGCATGTGCTAACATACTCGTTCTGTGACACCTCTGCGCAGTAGTCTATGCAGCAGAAGTACCGCGAGCATACTACTCAAACGCCAGGGAATCCATCGGCCAAGGATGTGAGACTATGTCGCCCCCATCTTTCTCTTTAGGTCGCTCATATCGAAAAGCGACCTTGTCAACGCGTCGGTTGGACCAACTACCTTTTTGTGGGAGGACGTGGTGTGACATGCGACCCTCGCTTACCTGTGAGTTAGGCTCCTTGTAGAGAGTCAGTCTCCTTCATCGCAGTCTCATCGCTTCAAAAGACTAGCGGTCGCTGGAGTTGGGCAGCATCTGAGAGGTGGTAGCATCCACCAAGACGCCATCATCTGCAACACATGTGGCTATGTGTTTAGTGTAGTCTTGATATGATGATACCGACGGGCCCTGCAGAGTAACATTCTAGTTGTTACTCAAGTCCACTAGGTACCGATCACCGCATCGCATACATGTGGAGCCCCGCTCTTGGTGACCATCACAGTGTTCTCTCGGGGGTCAAGACATGTCTACTATACTACGACAGCCACGAGGACGTCTCGCGGTTTTGAATTAACGGACTTACATGGCCCAAATACTGATTTGTTCGGTCGAGGCCGACAGCCTTCTTGCTTAACACATTGTGAA